GATAATGAAACTGAAGCTCAAATACTTTGGCCACCCAATGAGAAGGGAGCACTCCCTGGAGAAGACCCTGATGCTGAAAAAGATGGAAGGTCAAAGAAGACGGGGACGGCAAAGGATGAGATGGTTAGACAGTGTCATAGATGCAATGAACATGAAATTGAGCCAACTTCAGAGGAAGGCGGAAGACCAGAAGACCTGGCGGGAGCTGGTCCATGGGGTCGCGGAGAGTCGGACTCGACTGTGCGACTGAACAACAACTTCACTCGGAGTCTCAGAGCAGCTTACAGTCTCCTTTCCCTTCCCCTCCCCACAACAGGCACCCGGTGACGTAGGCGGGGCTGAGCTCTTTCCAGAACTGCCCTTGAGAGAACAGCTCTGAGAGAACTTGTGACTGACCCAAGGTCACACCAGCAGCTGCATGTGGAGAAGTGGGGAATCAAACCCGGTTCTCCCAGATTAGAGTCCACGCACTTAACCACTACACCAAACTGGCAACCCTAGGTGCCATAGATCTAGGGTTCCTAGCTCCAGGCAGGGTAACTTCCCGAGATTTGGGGGTGGTCAGAGACCTCAGTGGGGTACAATGCCATCGACTGCACCCTTCCTCTGGGGAAACTGATCTGTAGTCTGGAGATGAGCTGTAATTCTGGAGGATCCCCAGGCCCCACCTGGAGGCTGGCATCCTGACATATCTCACCCTTCAGAGTTGCCCTTTCCCCCAAGGGGACTGACCTTTGTAGTCAGCTGTAATTCTGGGAGCTCTCCAGGCTCCACCTGGAGGTTGGCATGATCCCTAATAATGCAGCCCTCCCCTGAGAAACAATGGTGGGAGAAAACATGCCGAGTCAGCTTGACCTCGCCTTTCTTTATCAAAAGAAACAGGAGCACTGCCATGAAGGATAACCATGAGTAACTGAATAAAGAGCAAGATGTTCTTGTGTGGGGCTGTGCCACCGCCAGGCTAGTTCAAGAGTTCTTCTCCCTTCTGCTCTGAACAACGGAAATAAAGGCTGCCACAACTGTTGTTCAGACACGCAGTATTCTGAGATAGTTAACTTTTTCACAGAGTGCAAACAAGCCCCAAGATACCTAAAAAATGTCCCAATCCATCACACTTTCTACACGCCTGTTTTCAAAAAGAATTATTTCCCAGTTTTAGCCTGTAACACTCAAAATAGTGTGTGTGTACCTGTTATGCATGCATGAGTGATACTCTGGACCATAGACTTCATGATACCAGTCTCAAAGATACAACTTTGGCAAGATGCCAATTGGCACAAAGGGAACATGTATAGAAATGCCACGAAGGCAGCCAGTAGCTGAATGGGCGAACAGGTACCTCCCCAAATGGCTTTGTCTGCCTTCATTTCCCTTGATTCCTGTTTTCTCTGTTCTCTTATAGGTCCCCATCTTCTTGCACGCCTTGGCCTCCGTGCATCAGAACAATTTTGTTTCTGATGAGCAAGACACACGGGACATTGTGGCAGTCGTGTGTGCATATGTGCACTTTCACAAAAATCAACAGCTGTCTCAAACCAGAGCTGGACAGGAATATGCACACAGCCATCAGTGCTGTGCTACAGCAACACAAATTCTCAAGATTTTAAAACAAAAGTGTTTTGTTCCCGTCTGCCTAGTGCCCCACATATTAGACTCTGTCATGATCTGGCCTGTGCCAGTACGGCCTAGCCAGCCTAAGAGGCCTTGTTGGTAGTAGGATGCGGCTAGGCCTACAACTCCAAGAAGGCATTGGGAGAGTCAGAGAGAAGATTCTAAAGAGACCGTTGGAGTCGGTTGGGAAGACAGTCTGGGAGGAGACTGTGATAGTCTGGTGAGAGAAGGAATCTGAGCTGTTCGCTGAGGAATAGTGTGTACCTGTTATGCATGCATGACTGATACTCTGGACCATAGACTTCATGATACCAGTCTCAAAGATACAACTTTGGCAAGATGCCAATTGGCACAAAGGGAACATGTATAGAAATGCCACGAAGGCAGCCAGTAGCTGAATGGGCGAACAGGTACCTCCCCAAATGGCTTTGTCTGCCTTCATTTCCCTTGATTCCTGTTTTCTCTGTTCTCTTATAGGTCCCCATCTTCTTGCACGCCTTGGCCTCCGTGCATCAGAACAATTTTGTTTCTGATGAGCAAGACACACGGGACATTGTGGCAGTCGTGTGTGCATATGTGCACTTTCACAAAAATCAACAGCTGTCTCAAACCAGAGCTGGACAGGAATATGCACACAGCCATCAGTGCTGTGCTACAGCAACACAAATTCTCAAGATTTTAAAACAAGTGTTTTGTTCCCCTCTGCCTAGTGCCCCACATATTAGACTCCTCCTAGTCTTGCTGAAAATGTGACCCCACTGGTCGCTTCGGAATGGCTGCAAGCTGACTGGTAGAAGCTTGAGGATGAAAAACCTGAATTTAGCTCAGTGGCGGGTGGGGAAATAAAAAAGGAATCTATACCTCTGAGACTCTGTGGGGGAGTCTGATGTTTGAGTGCAATGCACAACTCCACAGGATGGAGAATTCAGAGGGCAGAAAACCACAAGCAACCTCTAGTAATCTGAAGCATACTTGTGTCTCAAGGTCAACTATTATACAACTTTTATATCATCTTGTGCTCGGGGGCTTTGAGAAATGGGCTATACTTGTCCTCTCTGTGCTTTGTATTTAATCCCCTCGTACTTTAGTATTTCAGCTCACCCTGACAGTATGAGAGTACTTCTTTCCCCATTTAGAGGCTGCCCCCCCCCGAAACTCTGTCAGGCACACAGAACACAAAAGAAACGGCAAGTAATGTGGAGAGCACTATATTGTATATTTCAGGACCCTGTGTACACAACCATACCAATGCATTGTTTATGTTGCCAGATCTGTTTTTTCCTACAGAATGAAAAACTGGGGGGGGGGGGGGGGGACTAAAGATGAAAGGAAGGCACAGAAAACATCTGCACTGTATCATCTTAGTAGAAAAAGAAGGAACTTGGGGACCTCATTTTTTCCCCCTTGCACTGACCCAATCCAGTGTGGCTAATGAGACAAGCAAGATAAATGAAGACAAACGTTTGCAGTCCAGTTCACAGAATCCAGAGACATTATGCAGCAATCCTCAATCTTGTCAAACTTTGCGGGCACTTCTGGAAGTTTGAGAACAGGTGTGTGTGCGTGGGGTGTGTGTGTGTGTGCCATAACAAAATGGCTGCCACAGGGGGAAAGATCCACAAAAGGTAAGGAGGCTTCAACTCGACGGAGCCCAATGAATGGGTTCTCCCTTCCAATACAAAAGTGATGTCCCCCCTCGGGCTCGTCTGAATTCTGTCTTACTTCACTGAAGTGGAGGGAAGCCTAGACTGGCTCTGTGCTTCAGAGAAGAAACGGGCGAGGCACCACATTAGAGATCACCACTTTACAGTCTACAGCGGAACAGTTCAAACAGCCTCACAACTTCAGAGGCATGTACCCCAAGACAAGTCACGCTTTAACAGGTCCAGAATTCTAACCTGCCTCCATTCTCAGTGGTAAAGTCAGTGATTTTTATGGTCAGTTTTTCAAACTTTCCAAGACCTGTTACTGTAGACCTGGGCCTGTGCAATGTTGTACAAAAAACTCCGACTTTGAGAAGGCATCTTGACAATGACTTTTGGAAGCAATGGAGTTCCTCAGCCCAGAGTCGTTTATTTTCCTTTGCCGCCACTGTCATCCAAAAATGATTGCACATAATTATGTAAGCGAGTGGCAGGAGGCACAAAATTGGGTTTATAAAGTGTTGTTGTTACAACATTAAACCTTCTCCCCTCTGTGTTGTATACAAAGGTCTCTTTCAGTCCATCTTCAGAAATGGATGAACCTGTTTCATTAAACACAAAAAGGAAGTTAAACATTCCGGTCCACAGTAGCTGGAGTTAACAAGTTACTAGAACTGCAGTCATTCTGCCCAAGCATCATCATCATCTGTGATCATTTTAGAGGAACACAAGTATTGTCCACAATAGATCCATTCCAGGATGACAGCAATCCTTTATTAAGCAGATGTGGCAGCACATACATGCAAGCCTTCTTTAAAAACAGCATCATATATGTGTGAAAATCAATACGGGTGTACTTCCAAAGGTACTGTTCCCTAAGCCATGTCATACTCTGGGCAGAAAATGCATTTTGTAAAAAAAAAAAAGTCACCATGTTGGCTTCAGAGTGTAAATTATTCCAAAATAAAATCAACACATATTAGTGGGTAAATCTCTGCACATGAAGTAGTACACAGAAATTCTGTGTAGCCTGGAGGATTGCTGGAAACCCTAAAAAAATGTTTCCCCCCCTCTTTATCCTTTCTGTTGATATTATCCATCACTCCTAGTGATGT